CAGTGTCAAGCATTATTCAGCTAATACCATTGAAGTAATATGTACTTACGTACTAGAACAGCTATTTCAAACAAAAAATGTGCGCTACTCTATGTTCGCGTGGTTGTTTTTTTATCATAGAATAAATATAGGTAGAAAGATCAAAAGGTAATAGTAGATTGTATTGTTAAATAGGTAAATTATATCGAAAACAATTTTTAAATTCTGTCATTCATTTTGTATATTATATTTGCTTATTTAATATATTATATCACAATTACATTTTAATTATATTTTTATCTGTATTTTTTAAAAGGTATCTATGTCAAATATATAAAAAATATATAAAAACCATACGAAATGTATGTTTAACAAAACTTATTAACATAACATTTAAATTACAAATATATTTATTCAAATTAGAATAAGAGTCGTTCATAAATGCTGGGCACGCGAGAGTTAAAAATAGACATATTTATTCAACTTTGACTTTGATGTGCAAACCATAAAATAAATTAAAAGAATAATAAGCAGATTTAAATATGAAAAATTTAGCCTAATTATAATAACTTATATGTGTTTCTACAAGAAAAATGTGTATAACAATATATTCGTACTATACTTAAGTACCTACCCACAGAAATGTCGCATCTGAACATATTAATTTCATAATCTATATTTCATCGCACGAGATGGCGCCTTAGGAATAATTTGTTTTATTATTAATCTATAATACTTTTTTATTGATTAAGTATCTTATCAACCGATGAAAAGTAATTCCTTAATTTTTACTGACATTTCTTGAATTATTTGTGCAATATCTAAGTACACACGACGGCATATTTTTATCAAGAGATTTTTTTTAAATCAACACAACACGTGACATCTCTACAAGCGCCTAGCGAGTGACTGATTAAAGTGCGGTGTATGCACCGCAGTTGAGTGGAACAGAGTAGCTGGATGCAGTATCGCCTCTAGTACGTAGTACATAATAGCTCGATGGCTAATACTTACTTCTTCAGCTAATACTTACTTCTTCAGCTAATACTTACTTCTTCAGCTAATACTTACTTCTTCAGCTAATACTTACTTCTTCAGCTAATACTTACAGCATGTAACCAGAATCAGTGGCTGATATTTAAGTATACGCTATATAAAATGTAACTGACCAGGTAGTGGAATTCCTGTTCGGTCTAGAAGCCTGAGTAGGTTGCACCCTCTTACCTATCTCTGACGCTGACGCAGCGCATGCACTGCTATGTTCCGGTATGAAGAATGTACAGGCTGCGAGATGTTTCTTCGTAGCCGTCACAGGTGACAACCCATATGAAGCCTTGTTCTTTATCGGTTGCTTGGAATCATTCTGCAGTAACCATCTGTCAGTTGAACTGCGAGTCCATTTGCCACTTGTCTCATTCTCTTTATATATTTTTAACCCCCGGCGAAAAAGAGGGGTGTTATAAGTATAAGTTATAAGGTGTTATAAGTGATCATGTGTGTCTGTCTATGACACCGTAGCTCTTAAACTGGTGAACCGATTTCAATATGGCTCCTTAAGTTCCCGCTATGAAAATCAATGATTTTTCGAAAATTGAGTTTTCTACATATCTCGACGTTTCGAGGTCCTAGGAAGTTATTCGATTTTGGTAATGATGATATGACATCTTTATGTGTGTGTGTGTGTGTGTGTGTGTGTGTGTGTGTGTGTGTGTGTTTGTGTGTGTAGGTGGGTGTATGCATGTAAAAATGTAAAGATATCAAAATATCATGTAAATTTAGACTAAATCGGTACGGAATATTCTGAAAAAATCTCAAAACTTCGAATTTTTCTAATTTTCCAAAAAAATTTTTGGAGTTTTCTCGACACCCTTGCTTTGATCAATTCTTTTATCGAATCAGCTCTCTTTCTCAAAAATCGACGTCGATTACTGCAAACTACATTTTAATTGGTTGGTTCGTTCGAGAGATATCGTTGTCAGAAGAAACGTCGAAACAGTGTTCTTTCAAAATAATTTGAAAAACTTATACTCTTCGAGCTAAAAAACGTATAACAATTCTATCCTGAACCTGTTACTGAAATTTGAGGCGCTTTGCACTTGAAATTAGCAGGAAATTGCAGAGATGGCTTGTAGGTCAACCGTATTTTTTATTTAAAAGCATGTTTTCTAGCGGTGATTTTTAGATATGTTTTATGAAAATCGGTTCACCCATTTGAATATCATTTGTTTTTGTTTCGGGGTTATTATTCTCATTATTTCTATTTTGTAAAAATAAATCATAGCTATAAAAACACATAATAAAACTTGTAACTTGATATTATATTTCCTGGGTTTTAAAGTTGCCAGTTTCAATATATTTTCCTGTATACAGGAAATTCGTAAATATATTGAAGTCAATATATTAACGAATATTTAAATCATTTCCTTGGTGAACTTCACAGTTTAAATGGTTTTGTCTTTTTTATGATTACAGAATAAATAAATATAAATTGCAACTTTTTTTTATCATTACTTTCAAAGAGACGTTTACACTGAGTCACAGAGTACTAAAGGTTTAGAGCTTTAATTCTAGGAATAAAATAATTTTAATAAGTAACCGAGCTTACATTAAACGTGTGGTAAAAGTTAAAGCTTCAACAGCTCTGCCTGATGTTATTCCACTACAGCTCCATACTGAGTCGGATGGCCCTTTGTTGCTAGATTTTTTTTAATAATAATGTCTTCAAGAGTTAATTTCAGTTATGGCAGCTAGTCTCGACGGAGAGTAGCCATCTGCGCAGGACAGTTATTATGCACTATAATACGAGGGTTTTTTTTATAGAATAAGGGTGACAAACGAGCACACATTCCACCTGACGGTAAGTGGATGCTGTGGCTCATAGACATTTACATTTATCCTCAGTATAGAATTAAAAGGCAGATGCGTTATCGCCCTGAGAACTCCGATGGAATGCCTTTTTTCCAGTGAAAGGGGTCTCCGTTTCTCTACAATCACCATACGAAACACAGCAGCATTAATCTCCTATTTTACGTTGGTATTCTGTGAGAGCGTGGTCCTTCCCCGCTTGAGCCGACCCAATCGTGCTACAACTATAATGTAGCATTATGACTCTGCCACGTAAGAACAACTGATGCGGTACAAGGCTCCGTTATCCCTACCGTATATGAAGGCGCATTTTGTGCTCTGTCGTGCTTTGTCCAAGTTCGTGAAGAGGGGAAGGAGCTTTCCTCTCCAGAGAAGGTAGTCTCTCCAAATGTTAGTAGTTTGGTTAATATAATATTTATCTATCGGAAGCTGTATTGTCTTGTGGTATTTCCCATATAATGATTTCTTAAATTTATGCGAACACTCCATATTGAATAAAACTATATTAACGGATTCTATCGCGTTTAAATTCACGTCGAGATTTAAGTTTTCGGAGTCGTATCATTTCACCACTGAGAGGACATACCAGGGCACACACAAAGATTTCATATCATTTTTTTAGTGAGATAAAAGACCTACATCTTGCTGACAATGAAACATTGGTCAGTTTTGATGTTCAGTCACTATTTTTTTAGAATTTTATAGACATATATGGATAATTATATATATATATATATACATATATATATATATATATATACATATATATATATATATACATATATATATGGATAAATGTGTGAATAATTGACTGGTTTAATTTTGACATCGGGGCCTCAAACACCCCAGTTCCCCGTAACTATGCATGCTGCAAAGCACCTGAAAACTCGGAAATTGAAAATAAGTATAATTTAAGGTGATAAACTCCGTGAAACTAAATTTATTTAATTTTTAGTGTTCGATTAAACATTGGTAATTGCAAGGAATTCTTGAAAATCTAAAAATAGCTTTGTTATATATAAAGACAGTACATCATGTAATGGATATGTTACGGCTAAAGGTAGGTGTGAACATAAGATTAGCTGCGATCGTACATATACCTATTTGCAATGTCGGCGTTGCACAATCTCGAAACGTTTAAAACGAAGTTTGACAGTAAGTTTCGTGAGTTACTAACATCAAAACGAACTGATAATAGTTTTTATTTAAGTGACGAACAGTACGATAATGTAATTCAAGAAGTCAGGTCAGCAAAACTCGCCGCTAAGCGTTCAAAATTGCAGTATCGACGATTAAAAAGATTTGATGTTTGCACTATTGGCGGTATAGAAAATCTAATAGCACCAGTGGCAGGACAAGGCAATAGTATCTTGTGTTATGTGAAAAATTCAGACCTGTTTGATGGTTTGCATACAATTAACATTCATCCCTTCCCCTCTGGACCTCGAAAGAATATAGACGTGTAAATTGCTTTCTGTCTCGATCATAATAAATTTAATTCCGTTGTGAAAATTAAAATTAAAATAATAAGATATCATAAGCGCAAAGAGGTGTTCTTAATTACCAACTCGTCACAACGTGCACACAACGGCAGCGCGAACGCACACAGACAGTGAGTCCATTCATTACTTCATTGTATTAATACGCACGCAGCGTATACTGTACGGAACGCACCCCTAGCCGACCGCGTCTAATTCGTCCAAACTAAGCTGATACCTACGCCTTACCTGCGACGCTGTCGCACACTGAGTGATTCATACCATACTTGTGGAACGAAGATAACTATATTTAATCATATAAGCGTAAGATCCGCGATAACTACCTTTTAATCTATACTTGCCTGGTACTTTCCGTAATGCCGCTTAACCGCTCGCCGTTGCAGGCGTCTACATCGGCGCGCCGAACAAACTTACAACATTGCGACTCGGAACCAAATATACATACTACCCCCGAAAAGGAGTATTATATAAACACCGCTCCAAGGAAAAGAAAACATAGTAATGATACTTCGAATGAATTAAGTATGATTCATGACAAATTCCTATCATTGTTCACGTCTTTCAAAAATGAGCAAGACAGTAAATATTCCATAATTCTTGAACGTATGGGGGGAGATTAAACAACAGAACGAGGAAATACGTCATTCGATTAATTTTATGTCCGATAAATACGATTCGCTTTTGGAAAAAGTCCGCAACCTAGAAGAGCAAAACAGTGCTTACTACAAGCGTATTCAAGAATTAGAAGAGAAATTCGAGCGTGAAACCCATGCTACGAAAATTGAATTACGCAACGTCCCAAAGGAAACTCATGAAACCAAGGATGATTTATTAAATATTCTGAAAAAGACAGGTGGAGTCCTGGGTTCAACACTTCAACAGTCGGACGTGAAAAATATATATAGAATTAATACTAAAAACGAGGGAAATAAGCCAATTATAGCAGACTTTACAAGCTGCCTTACGAAGGATAAATTTATCTCAAACCTTAAAAAATACAACAAAACTCATGCCAACAATAAGCTGAATACAAAAGATATTTCAATGGACGGACCGGCAAAACCTATTTACATCTCGGACAACTTACCACAAAAAACGAGGCAGCTGTTTGCAGCTGGGAGAGATTTTGCGAAGAAAAATAATTACGTCTTCTGTTGGACCTCAGTTGGAAGAGTATACTTAAAGAAATCTGAGCAATCCAAGCCTATCCTGATCAAGTGTCACGAAGACCTTAATAAGATGTCTACCGAATGACTAGATTTTAGCTATTTGTATGAAGTGTATTTTTACAAAACTTTTACACAGTTCCTATTGTTAATCCATTCATTTCTTTATTTTAATTTAATTTTCTGTAATAGTAAGGCCCTTTACTCAAACTCACTTACCAATACATTCATTGCATTTATCCACAACTATAATCGTATGCACAATACAACATATACACATTTACTATATATTATAGCTACCGTTTCGCGTTACCCATCACATGTCAGCTATAATACATACATATTATATGTACCATGCCCATGCAACATAACATATTCACATTACATATTACATAACTCTACTCATTCGAACTACATGGCTATAAGACTTTTAGAGTTTAGATCGTATCACATGCAAGCTCAAACTTCTACTACACTAATTACGTATATACAATGTATTATAACATTTAAAAAATCAATGCGTCGTTGTCCATGTAACAATAGTTTGCTGCATAATTTTAAAATTCAATAATCAAAATATTTGTGTTGTTCAAAATGAATTAAATGTTGTTTGTAACCCTACTTGTACTGAGGTGGCGGACCCTGCATTATGCAGGCGACTTGTCCAGGTAACTCCAAACTCACTGTCTATTCTGACAGTTAATATAAGGAGCATTCACTGTAACTTAGATCGTTTTCTAGTGTTTGTTGAGTCGCTTAGTATACCTATAGACATTCTTGTTCTAACCGAATGTTGGACAAAAGAGGTTAAGCCACCGCCGCCTTTAGATAACTATCAAATGTTCTACACAAAAAACAAACTGAACCAAAATGATGGGGTAGTAGCGTATGTGCGCAGTGGTATTGTGGCCTCTGCTAAAGAACCGGACTGTACAGAAGGTAACTGTTTGGTTCTGAATATTGAAGAAAGCTGTGCGGTTATTTGTTCGTATAGACCAGCAGGTTTTCCGAATCCTGCGAATTATCTAAATTCTCTAGAGCGGATTTTGAAAGACACACCTCAAAATACTATAATACTTACCGGTGATATCAATATAAATATATTGCCGGGTAACGTATCTATGAGTGGTGCAAGCTACATTAGTCTCTTGGCATACTATGGCCTACTTCAGGGTGTTGACAAACCCACACGCTTAGAATCATGTATTGATCACTTTATGGTTAAAACGAAAAGTAATTGGCAAACCTTTGTATTCGATTCATTAACTGACCATTCACCCATATTATTAATTTTAAATAGTCCGAAAATTAACAAGTCTGTACCTAATATTAAGCGGCTCAAAATTGACTTTGATGCTATAAAAATTCAATTGGCTAATGAAAACTGGAATGAATACTACAAACTTACCTCAGTTAATAAAGCTGCCGAATATTTAATCTCTACATTACACTCTGTTATTAGCATTAATACCAGGGAAGTTTCCACACCTCACAGAAAACAAAGACTAAAACCGTGGATTACGCCGGGTATCCTTATCTCAATCCGAAAAAGGAATAAGCTTCAGAAACAACATAAAAATACACCAAATGATAAAAATCTAAAAACCATATACTGTAGCTACCGAAACATATGTAATAAGCTTGTTAAATTAAGTAAAATAAATTACTACCGCTCTAAATTCAATCAAAATACAGGATGCATTAAAAGGACTTGGGATTTAATTAAAGATATTTGTAACTTGACTAAAAAAACTGAAAATACATCTGATGAGCTTCTCAACACTAAAACAACAACTACAGAGTCTCTTGATGAGGTAAACGGGTACTTTACTAATATTGGTCTGGAGTTGGCGACTAAAACTATTAACAAATTAGGACTTACACAAGAGCAATTGTCTATCAATGCAGCCAGGTCGAACATGTTACCAAATTCTTTTTCCTTGTTTTTGACTGACTGCGCCGAAGTTCATAAATTTATTTCAAGCCTAAAATCAAGTAATGCCTCTGGTTGGGATAACATAACATCACACATCATAAAATATGCATGTCCTTATATCGTTGAACCTGTAACTTACCTAATAAACCTTAGCTTAAAAACCGGTATCTTTCCAGATATCTTCAAAAAGGCCTTAGTTACACCTATCTATAAAGATGGTCAAAAAAATCTACCGTCGAATTACAGACCAATTTCATTGTTGCCAACCCTCTCTAAAGTCCTAGAAAAAATTGTAAACAGTAGATTGATTAGCTACCTCGAAAGATTTCACCTGTTAAGCCCTAACCAATATGGATTCAGAAAGCACAAATCTACTGAGGATGCTGTCCTCCATTTCACGTCTTTAGCGAATTCTTACTTAAACAAAAATGAAAGGTGTCTCGGTGTCTTTTTAGATCTTCAAAAGGCATTCGATACGGTGTCGATTCCTATACTATTGACAAGGCTAGAAAACCTGGGTATTAGAGGTGTGCCACTGCAATGGTTCAGATCCTACTTAAGTAACAGGACACAGATAGTCAGAATCAAGGAACATTTAAGCAACAGCGCTGTTTGCCATTTCGGTGTGCCTCAAGGCAGTACGCTAGGCCCGACTCTTTTTCTCGCTTATATAAATGATCTATGCAAGTTGCAGTCAAAGGACGTTGACATCGTGATGTTTGCAGATGACACAGTACTTTTGTTTCACGTTTCCTACACATCGTGGAGTAATGTTAGGAGTCTCGCTGAAAAAGGCATAAAAACTGTAACGTCTTGGCTAGAAGACAGCCTCCTCACTTTGAATACTGCAAAAACAAAGTATGTTTGTTTTGGTATATTAACCCGTTCTCGACCAGGCAGTAATTTCCAAATTCAAATCCATACTCACCCATGTAACCGGCTACTGCGTGTACCTGCCACGTGTAATTGTGAATATTTGTCACGTGTGACAAGCATAAAGTATTTGGGAGTTATTCTTGATGATGGGCTTAGCTGGGTCCCACAAGTAACTGCTCTAGCGAGTAAAACAAGGAGGCTAATTTATATATTTAAAAATTTGCGTGATGTGGCTAGTTGTGATGTTCTTTTGTTAACATACAGGTCCCTGTGTGAGAGCGTTATTTCATATTGTATTTGCGTCTGGGGGTGCGCAGCAAAGACACACCTCATACTACTAGAGCGTGCGCAACGCGCCGTCCTAAAAGTTATGATGCGGTTGCCTTTTAAATACCCCACACATGACCTGTACAAGCAGTGCGATATGTTATCAGTACGCAAATTATTTGTATACCAGTGTCTTCGTAGATATCACCGCCATTCTGTGCCTTGTCCTCCTATAAGTAATAAACGAGTAACAAGATTACCTGTACCTAGAGCCCAGACCGTGTTTGCTAGAAGAAGCTACAATTTTTGTGCACCAATGCTTTATAATAAATTATTCAACAAAGTTAAAACAGTCAATAACAGAAATGTTAAAACTATTATTAACCTTAATAATCATGAATTCAAGAAAATATTAAAACAAACTCTTAACGACTTGAATTATAATGAAATTGAAGAATTGTTCGTAAAGATCACTTAATCGCTCGTGTGTGAACACACACACACACACACACACACACACACACACACACACACACACACACACACACACACACACACACACACACACACACACACACACACACACACACACAGAGACGCAATTTGGCCTTACATTAGAATTAGTACCGTATTATCACTTTTTAATTTCATTTTATTTTTTACTAACAAATTTCTTTATAATAGTAATATACTTACATTATAATACTAAGACAATAGATGGGGAAGTCTGAGGCCTGTAGCACAGTTTTTACTAACACAGGCTTCAGAGCTCAAAAATAATTGTAACAATAATGTAATGTATGTTAATAATAAATTTCATTTCATTTCATTTCATTTCATTTCATTTCATTTCATTTCATTTCATTTCATTTCATTTCATACGGGTCATGGTGGGCGGAATCGCATGATAAATGAATAAAAAAAAGTACAAGACAGTGACACAATAAGCAATATTATTGTATTTAAGTTTATGTGAATCCTGTCAAATGAAATTAAAAACTAACAAGAAAGGATTAGTCGTCAAACCAATAATATCTTCCGAAATGAACAGCAGGTGTCAAGTTGATTTAATTGACATACAGATCAGTCCAGATTTAGAATTTAAATTTATTTCAGTTTACCAGGATCATTTAACTAAATTTGTTCTAATTTGCCCTCTACGTACAAAAACGGCAGTGGAGGTGTCAAACGTGTTTCTTGATATATTTTGCCTATTTGGCGCACCATCAATTCTACAATCCGATAATGGGCGCGAGTTTGCGTTTTAGCAGAATTATGCAGTAAGTGGTCAGGCTTGTAGATGGTACACGGCAAACCTCGACATAGCCAATCACAAGGTAGTGTTGAACGTGCCAACCAAGTATTCAAAACATCTTGATGACGTGGATGAGTGATGAAAAATCCTCAAAATGGTCGGAGGGTCTTAAATTTGTACAAGTAAAGAATAATTCCGCCTATCACGACGGTATCAAGAGAACACCCTACAAAACGATGTTTGGAAAATAACCTATAGGAAAATAAAATAACCTCAGAAAATAACCGCACCTTTTGTGAAGAACATGGCATTTTTATGGACGACATGACATGCCATCTGTGTTCAAAAGAAGCAAATATCGAACATAATCGTTCAGAAGCGAAATTAAATTGAGAGTACCAAGCCATTAAAATGAAACAAAATTCCGCTGCAGTTTCCAGAATGTCATTTAGGCGATACAGTAAGAGTAAATATACCGGAACTAGATCAAGGCCGAGGCAATTTTTTTTTTACGAAATCAGTTTACAGTTTGTGAACAAAAATTCGTAGATTTGGAAAAAGTGTCGTCAGTGAAAATGACTATTCGTCATCTTGCTAATGAACAGTCAACATCAGGTGGACAAGGCTTTCAAAGATGTCATTGCAAGACAAAACGTGGTACACGCAAATGCCGCTGCCGAATAAAAAATGTTCTTTGTAATTCGAAATGCCATTCTAGTTCATCATGTTCCAACAAATAGCTCCATATTATTTA